CCACGCGCATCAAATGGCAAGAGGAGTATGCCAACATTAGCAGGAACAACGTCAGTGTAGACGCGGCGAGTTGCTGTGCAAGCTACATGGGATGCGCATGCGTTGCACGATTCACAGGACGACGATCGAAAGAACGAGGCTTGAGGCCCCAGGATCGAAGAAAAACGGGCACGGGAACGAGGGGTAGGAGAGGGATGGAATGGAGGGCGGGGGGGGGCGAAAAGGCCATCGCGGAAGCAGCAGCATGCATGGAGAAGGTGAGGCGGGGAATAGGACGACGATGAAAGTGGCGGGAGGAGACAGAAGACTGCCGCGTTTTTCAAGCGCGAGCTCAACCCGCAGCGCTGCCTGCGCCATGTCGTCGCAGAGTTCCACATGATAAAACTTGTTTAGAATGCAAGGAACGAGCGAGGCGTAGCTCGCCCGCTAGCTTCTCCGCCTCCTTCCCGCACATTTCAGCGCGGGAGCTGAACGCTCGCTGGCGCGCCGCCAGGTCTGCGGGCGGCCCGCGGGAAAGAAACTCAAGGCCGGGGTCGCGCATCATCAATCGGTTGTCCATCGTCCAAAGTTGCATTGGCGACGTACTGGTTGAACGCGGAGCGAGCAGCATCACGCGCGTGCCTGAACGCCACGCAGGTACAGTGCACGCGCGATTGGGACTTCAGGTCGATCACGCGCGTCTCCACCAGGCTTGGCAACACCACGCGACTGAGGATATCACTGCGGTCTGCCATGCTGCTGTCCGCGAATGCAATGCGCTGCCTGCAAGTAAGGCGGCGGCGTCCACTTGTCTCAGAAGATGTTCCCGCGGGCCCGAAGGGCGACCGCCAGCTCGTGCCGCGGCGCCGGCAGGCCAGATAAGGATCATGCAACAGCAAAGACGATGACAGAGCAACGAGGTATCGGCGACTGCATGACCGGCCTCCGTTTCCTGCACTTCTTTCCTGTAGTTCCCCTAGCTCATCGAGCTCAGCAGATGTTTCTGCGGGTCCGAAGGACGACCGCCAGCTCGAGTCGCGGCGCCACGTGGCACGAACCGCAGAGCAAGGGCACGCAAGCATTGCTCGTGGTCAGAATCTGAGTCCCCGTGGTGCCTCACTCCGCTGGCCACCCACCAGCAGCCCTCGAAAGTGGCGACAGTTTCACAGATCGCAGCCGCCCAGGGGTGGCGAGGTCTAATCTGAGTCCCCGTGGTGCCTCACTCCGCTGGACCCACCAGCAGCCTCGAAAGTGGCGACTGTTTCACACAGGGATGGCGAGGTCTAATCTGGGTCCCCGTGGTGCCTCACTCCGCTGGACCCACCAGCAACCCTCGAAAGTGGCGACAGTTTCACAGATCGCAGCCCCCCCGAGATGGCGAGGTCTAATCTGAGTCCCCGTGGTGCCTCACTCCGCTGGACCCACCAGCAGCCCTCGAAAGTGGTGACAGTTTCACAGATCGCAGCCCCCCCCCAGAGATGGCGAGGTCTAATCTGAGTCCCCGTGGTGCCTCACTCTGCTGGACCCACCAGCAGCCCTCGAAAGTGGCGACAGTTTCACAGATCGCAGCCCCCCCCCCCAGGGATGGCGAGGTCTAATATGAGTCCCCGTGGTGCCTCACTCCGCTGGACCCACCAGCAGCCCTCGAAAGTGGCGACAGTTTCACAGATCGCAGCCCCCCCCCCAGGGATGGCGAGGTCTAATCTGAGTCCCCGTGGTGCCTCACTCCGCTGGGCCCACCAGCAGCCCTCGAAAGTGGTGACAGTTCCGCAGATCGCAGCCCGCCAGGGATGACGTGAAAGGCAAGAGAAGAGAAGAGGAGGAGCGAAGAGAGGAGGAGAAGGCAAACAAGAGAGGAGAGGAGGAGGGAAGAGAGGGGGGGGGGCGGGAGGAGGAGAACGGAGACCGCAGTGCTCTATTCAAAACGAGTACCCAACGCAGGAGGGTTGGGAATAAAAAATACTCCACCTCTATCAGAGGTGGATCCATCCTTCACGCCATGTTGCAATGTCTGCACCAACGAGGCTCTGTCCTGTGGGAATCCGATGGGAGACCGATGGGAATCCTACGAACCCTATAGGAAGCCTAAGAATCATATAGGAATCCTATGGGAGACCGATGGGAATCCTATGGGAGACCGATGGGAACCCGATGGGAATCATACGAATCCTATGGGAATCCTATGGGAATCCTATGGGAATCCTGTGGGCATCCTATGGGAATCCTACGAATCCGATGGGAATCCTAGGGGAATCATATGGGAATCCTGTGGGAATCCTACGAGTCCTCTAGGAATCCTATAGCAATCCTATAGGAATCATATGAAGCCTATACGAATCCTATGGAAATCCTCTATAGGTCCTATATGGATCCTGTAGGAATCCTACGGGAATCCTACGATCCCTATGGGAATCCTATGGGAATCCGACGAATCCGATGGGAATCCGATGGGAATCTTATGAATCATGTTGGATTCCTATGGGCATCCTATGAGTCCTATGGGATTCCTCTGGGAATCCTACGAGTCCTCTGGGATTTCTATGGGAATCCTACGAACACTATGGGATTCCAATGGGAATCCTACAGGAAACCTTTAGGATTTCTATGGGAATCCTACGAATCCTAAGAAGCCTTTAAAGATACTATAGGCATCCTATAGGAAGCCTCCAGGAATCCGGTAGGAATCCTAGGAAGCCTCTAGGATTCCCAGCATCCTACAGGAATCCGATAGGAATCCGATGGGAATCCTATAGGAAGCCTGTCGGACTCCTATAGGAATCTCACGAATCCCATAGGAGTCCGATGGGAATTCTAAGAAGCCTTTCTGGGAATCCTATAGGAAGCCTCTAGGAATCCTATAGGAGTCTTACGAGTCCCACAGGAGTCCTATGGGAATCCTAAGAAGCCTTTGGGAATCCTGTGGGAAGCCTCTAGGAATCCTATAGGACTCTTACGAATCCCATAGGATTCCGATGGGAATCCTATAGGAATCCTAGGGAGCCTCTTAAGAATCCTATAGGAAGCCTAAACATCTTATAAGAATCCTAAGAAACCTGTAGGGTTCCGGTTGAAATCCTGAGAAGCTTATGGGAATCCTATAGGAAGCCTAAGCAGCCTTTAGGACTCCTATAGAAATCCGATGAATCCTATGGGATTCCTATGGGAACCCTAGGAAGCAGGAAACCTCTGTAGGAATCCCATAGGAGTCCTAAGAATCCTACAGGATTCCAATGGGAATCCTAGGAGGCCTCGAGGAATCCTATGGCATCCTACAGGTTTCCTATACGATTCCTACACGGTCCTACATGGTCCTTATAGGATTCAAATGTTTCCTTTAAGATTCCTATATGATTCCTGTGATTCCTATAGGTTCCTATAAGATTCATGTGATTCCTATAGGGTCCTTATAAGATTCCTGTAGCTTACATGATTGCTCAGATTACTTGTGGGTTCCTATGAGACTCCTATCGGATGCTTCACGGATCCAACAGGACTCGTACAGAAATCATATGAACCGGATAGGAGACCTATCGAAATCCTAACAGGAATCCGGTGGCCCGCAACGGAATATCCTGGGAACCCAATGGTTCCTATGAGAATCACATGGGGCTCCCATGGGAACCCCATGATTCCTGTAGGGATCCTAAAGGAACCCGATGAACCCTATAGGGATCCTATAAGGATCTTCTAAAAATCCGATGAATCTTGTACAACTCCAATAGGAATCCAACACGAATCTTCTACGAATCCTATAGGAACCCTATCAGGATCCCATAGCAACCATATGGATCCTATGCATCCAATGAGAATCCTATAGGAATCACATGGGAACCCTTTAGGCAACCTATGAATCCTGCACGAATCCTACAGGAATCATATAGGAATCATAAAAAAGGAATCAAATAGGAATCATATGAATCCTGTATGAATCATCTAGGAATCCAATGGGAATCCTATAGGAGCCCGGCAAATCCTATAAGAACCCAATAAGAACCCAACAGGATTCATATGATCCCAATCGGCCCGATTGAAATCCCATAAGAATCCTATGATATTCATATGAACCCTATACAAATCCCATAGGAATCCTCCAGGAATCACATGGATCCTTCAGGAATCCTATAAGAACCCCTGCATCCTGCACGAATTCCATAATCCTATGAGAGTCCCATACGAATCCTATAAGAACC